ATTGTTTGACCGTGTTATGTGTGTTGTAAACTGACGAATAGCAAGTAATTGTCATGCTGTACGCATGGTTAGTCATTGGTAGTCATTGGTAGTCATTGATACATATACACATTACACATAACTAAGATACGGTTTCTATTTAAAATAATTATACGATTTTGGATTTAATTAGCATGTTTAAATTTTCAGGCCAACACGGCTGAGATACAGCACCGGCATACTCAACTGGAGTTGATTTCTGCCGGTCGTAAGTTCATTGTTTGACTGAGCACACTCGTGTCGGAGTTGCGATATTTTCTTCTCTTTGTTGGCAGCCTGCCACCGGTCTGAATTTTGAGAAAGGTCTCAGCATGGGACTGTTAATTACTTCTTAATGATGTCTACAAGCTTACAAACTTGTAGATGTTGGGTGCGGTTAGGACCAAACTTTTTCAGCTCAGAGTGTTAGTGGTTCTGGAACCCATAGTGTCAAACAGGTTCTGCACAAAACGTCCATCAGATTCTACTGTTCAGCAACATTGTCACTGAATTTCAGAACTCTGGCATGATATAATAATCAAGGATTTCGAAGGCAAAACCTTTTCTCGCCCATGGGCGAAATATTTCAATAAATCTGTAAAATAGCTGAATTGAATAAAATTGAGTTACATTATGTGCCGTGAAAATAGTAAGAACACCTGCATGTATTTGCGAAACAAAAACATAAGTTTTAAGTAAAGGAAAATATTCTCGCCCATGGGCCAAACCCTTTTCTCGCCCATGGGCGAAATATTTCAATATCGCTATAAAATCGTTGAATTAAGTTAAAATGAGTTAAATTTTGTGTCATGATACTTAAATAAATACATTTAATGTATTTGCGAAATAAAAACATGAGTTTTGAGTAAAGGAACATATTCTCGCCCATGGGCCTACCCAGGGGCCAGACTTCGCCCATGGGCAGGCCCATGGGCGACATAGTCTAAATATTGAGTTTTTGAATATTTTTTTTTTCATTTTGTCATTAAATTTTGTGTCATGATACTTCAATGAATACATTTAATGTATTTGCGAAACAAAATCATGAGTTTTAAGTAAAGGAACATATTCTCGCCCATGGGCCTACCCATAGGCCAAACCTTTTTCTCGCCCATGGGCGAAATATTTCAATATCGCTATAAAATCGTTGAATTAAGTTAAAATGAGTTAAATTTTGTGTCATGATACTTCAATAAATAAATTTAATGTATTTTTCCCCTAACAAAATCATGAGTTTTAAGTAAAGGAACATATTCTCGCCCATGGGCCAAACCTTTTTCTCGCCCATGGGCGAAATATTTCAATATCGCTATAAAATCGTTGAATTAAGTTAAAATGAGTTAAATTCTGTGTCATGATACTTAAATGAATACATTAAATGTATTTGCGAAACAAAAACATGAGTTTTAAGTAAAGGAACATATTCTCGCCCATGGGCCAAACCTTTTTCTCGCCCATAGGCGAAACACACATGCATATAAACACACGTACAAATAACTATACAGGTGCAGTTCTACACACTGCAACATATGGATATGTTGGCTTGTATACACTCGCATATAAGTGTGAGCGGTACAGCAGATGTGATCAATATGCACTTAAGAAATTCTAATCACACTCACAGCTTCCTGGCCTGGTTGTCTCACTCTCCTTTCACATGCAGATGCGATGAGTGGATTGCATTCAGGAAACTGACGTACGGGAAGCAGAAGCTTCATTCAGACTACTAAGTGGTTTAAAATTAGAGAATATTCGAAAGTCAGTTTCGATTGTACTGTACTTTGCATGCATAGAGCTCACGAAGATAATCAATGGACTTGTATTATGAGGACAAAAATGTATCTGCAATTTCTAAACAAAATAATGTAATACTTTTTTTATTGTATATCTGCTTTCAGGAGTTGTCGACGTGGGATAAACATTATTCTATCTTTTTAATTAAGCTAACGAGTTTTTACATGCACATGCCGAATTACTGTAACAATATTGTCCAAAAGAAGCTTTAATAATATTGAATTACGGTTTCAGTTGCTGTGCTCACATAGACACTTTATGAAACCAGCATCATTAATATCGATTCAGTTGTAACAATTTAAGGGGTACGATGACACGCAGTCAACCAAGTACTAGTTACAGAGGCTGGTCATCCAAATGAGGAAGGTCCATTCTAGCAGAGATCTCTTGTGATTACTCGTCACGTGCAACCAGACAGATCGTATATTTGTCACCACCACAGCGCTGATTGTTTCTATTATCTAGTAAGTGAGTGAGTGAGTGAGTATGGTTTTACGCCGCTTTTAGCAATATTCCAGCAATATCACGGCGGGGGACACCAGAAATGGGCTTCACACGTTGTACCCATGTCGGGAATCGAACCCGGGTCTTTGGCGTGACGAGCGAACGCTTTGACCATTAGGCTACCCGACCGCCCCTCTAGTAAGTGAGAGTTAGTTGGATTTAACACCGCTTTTAACAGTATTACAGTTATATCGCGGCGTGTCAGCTTCATGTGGGAGGAAAGCCCGGAGTGATGCAGGTCTCAGACGTTTACCACTTTGGTGAAACCCACGAGCACGGGTAATGAGCTGACAAACCTAGAAACATAACCCGGGCGAACACACAATCATAGGTTTCTGGCGTGCCCAAGGGACGCAACTCTGCACAGCGAATCGCGGCACCTTAGACGACCGGGCCTGCTCTGACCCCTTATCTACCAAGCAAGGGGTCTTGACGTTAGAGGATACACTTTTAGATAACTTCCTGAAAATGTCCAACGGAAAGACTAAGTCACACCTTGGTCACGCAGTAACTAAAGCCTCAGTCACACAGACAATGCGACCGCAATGAGATCCCTGAGGTCTCTGAAAGGTTTTACTGAGTTTGCTACAAGGTTTCAGAGCGGTCGCAAAACCCATTCGGTCCAACCAGTCGTTCGAACATGCACAAAAGACTGGCTGCGACCGATTTGGTCGCTCAGAGGTTTCACTGGTCTCCTGGGAGGTCCTGGTGTTATTTTAATCGCAGATTGGTTTTCCCCTGCGGCGATCGGTTTCGTCTACTCGTCGACTCTTTGCAACCTAGTGGCGACTTATCGGTGACTGATCATTGATGAGGCGGTGATCCACCGGCGCTTCATCGGTGACAACTTGCGAAGAAATGATTTGATTCAGAAAAGCACCCTGCATCGCTAGTTCAGACAGAAGCAATGAATGAAATGAAGCAAATAACTGTGTGGTGATAAGCAGAATCAATAAGATTGACAGAAATAATTGTCCACAGAGATTAATCGACCTTCCTTGAAAGTGTCAGGAAAATCAGGATTGAGGCCCTCTTGCACCTGTGGCGCTACTGCGCGAGGCCTGTGCTTACAGTTGTATTAGTGCTTCTTGCATAGGATGTCTTCTGTGTTCAAACGCTTGGTGTTAACAGTTATATGTCATGATCCCCTACTTGTTAAAGAGTATTTACACCATGGTCTGACGAACTGAATTGTAAGTTAAACATCACTTGGCAATGACGGGACTTCTTTTTTCTCCTGTCATCTAATAATTTCATGAAAAACTTGTCGGCAGCGGGATTCGAACTCGCGAAGGCCGACCTGAAGGCTAACGAATGTAGTCTTCTTCCACGGCGATATGGGAGAAATGGAATGAAAATAACAAATAAATATTTACTTACATTAGGACTAATTGCTCATCCGTTTATGAACTGCGAAATATGTTTTATGCATTTTCTATACAGTACGTTACTCTATGAATTCTAGTATTTGTAGAGGACTTGTGATTTGGTATCAAATAGAAACGAAATTACTGTAATCTTGATCAGGGTTATGTTTGATCATAATAGGCCCATCAACATGGGCAAGTAATATTTAGGTGATTAAAAGTGATTAAAAGTGCTCGAGTTGGTCCAAAATGAATGGTATACTTGCACCGGGATATGCATTTCATAACCTAAATCGGCAAAGTGCGAGGTGCACGTGCGAAAGGCTAGGGGTACATATTCCACGTGCATCATATTTTGCCAACTCACACAGTAACAAAACAATGTTTTTAAAGCATTTTAGGTGCCAGAAATGTTGAACATGGTTTTAGTATGTGAGACCACTCGGACCCCAGTGTCTAATCGTTGAAATGGTTGATTAAACAACTCTGCGCCGCGCATCTGGTCTTTTAATTAACCATTTCAACAATTAGACACTGGGTCCTCAAGGTCTAACATATACACAAACAACACTAACGTCTCACAACGACCCATGTTAAGTACGCAGACATCCATTCATCCAGTATGGTTCGTACACTCCACCCAGTCACATGGGGCAACCTTGTATTTAAGTGCATGAGCACGTGAATTTCAAACAACACTTTCTCGTGCGTTTATGCGCTCTCACCCGTTTACATGTATGTTGCGTTTTTTAGATAAAACCACAAAATGTAAAATGAAACATATCTTGACTGTGACACATGGAAAGGTCACTGGTCACCAAATAAAACAACTATCCAGAAGTTTGTTGTTACATTTTCTCAAAAGGAATTAATATACATAGCGATTATACATAGCAGCATTCTAGTATTTTCCGAGTGAAATGAATGATAATATGTTTAATACTGAATAATACATGAATCCTTACATGAGTTTCGTAAAATTAATATGACACATATACGAGAGCAATAATTACCCATTATTTCTGAATCCTTTTCAGCTCCCCTTTAGACAAATGCAATGATCACAACCGACGTTTTCTCAGAAAACCACAATTGTGGAATGACGTCAACAATCTTCAGCAATGACGTCGTTACTATAGTGATGTTATTTTGATCTTACATCACAATAAGATTCGAATTACGTCAACAATGCCGTCCGGATGACTACACGATACACTGGTGCACGTAAAGTGATATTTGCGATAGTGTACATACGATTTTTATGAACTCGTGTATTTCTAAGCCTTAGTGAATAAACATTTTTTTAAATGATTGCAGGTGCCGATCTCTTTTGTCCAGGGCGATTCCATATTTAGCGGAGTCTTTCATTACTTCCTGATCTTCACGTGTCTTCATCTCTCATTTGGTATGTAGGATTTGTCTTGACTGCAACTCGTTTTTGAAGATGCTTCAGTAAATGTAGAATGTACTAAATTCTTTCTGAACATTTTGAACTTTTGAATCTTTAGAGAATATCTCCAGTGTAGATCTGAACATAATTTGTTTCAAATTAACTAAAAGTGAATACAAATGGCAAATTCATGTAGGTTATTTGAATGTTGTAACATTGTAATCAATACCACAATGTAATGATTCATTGACAAGGTTGAATGTATGACAAATGCTGATCAATTAGTGTGTTTTTTTATAGATATAATGTGAATCCCTCCCCGAAAAAGTTCACAAATATGGTTGTCATTCACGAGACACTATATGGAAAATATCCAAATTATTTTGTATTTCCTATTTCTATTTAAACGTCATGTTACAATGTCCTGAATTTCCACTCTTCCCCATTCACTATCTTAACACCTGTTTTCATGTTTTGGTGTCAGTCATCCAGACTTCAGTTGCCCAGAGGTAGCTGAACTTGAACGCCCTGCTGTCCTGCAGTGCTCTGTATCTCACAGTGACACCACCATTAAATACGAAGGTCCAAATGGAGTGGACGCGCCCCAGTGCGATCTGGGACAAGGAAGGTGTACTGGGTTTGGAGTGTACAGTGCGTCGATAGTTAACAACAGCAACACTGTACTGCAGATAAGCAGTGTCGAACAATCGATGGAGGGTGTGTGGAAGTGTACAGATGACGCCAGAAGACGCTCCTCCGCGTGTATGCTTCATGTGTTTAGTATGTACTCACTAATACAGAGGACCCGTGAAAATCCAGGGTAGAATAGGTCTTCAGCAACCCATACTTGCCGCAAAAGGCGACTATGCTTGTCGTAAGAGGCGACTAACGGGATCGGGTGGTCAGGCTCGCTGACTTGGTTGATACATGTCATCGTTCCCAAATTGCGTGGATCGATGCTCATGATTTTAATCACTGGATTGTCTGGTCCAGACTCGATTATTTACAGACCCCCGTCATAAAGCTGGAATATTGCTGAGAGCGGCTTTAAACAACAAACCAACCAACCAACTATTACATACAAACATTTGCGTCTTGTATATGACAGAACTTGCATTGAAGTACGTCTTGTATAGTATACTTCAATTGAGTATTAATTGTTTTGTTAACAAGGGCTACAAAAACATGTCGGGCATATAACATGTTGTCCGTCCGTGTCCGTTTGTTTGTTGTGTAATGCCGCACTCAGCATTATTTTAGCTTATACGGCGGTCTGTAAATAATCGAGTCTGGACCAGACAATCCAGTGATTGACATCATGAACATCGATCCACGCAATTGGGATACGATGATATGTAACAAGGAAGTCACCAAGCCTGATCATCCGACCCCGTTAGTCACCTCTTACGACACGCATAGCCGCTTTTAACAGCAAGCATGTGTTGCTGAAGACATATATATATATATAAAAGTAATTCCATGTGTCGGTTAATGTCATTCAGCGTGAAGATAGTTATTCACTTAATACCTTTCACAGACATATCATGGCAGAATATAAATTGTATATGTCGTTGGACATTTTAGCCTTCAGTGACAAGGCGACTCAGTCTTGCATCTCCGAATTTGATCCTGCATGTCCTGAAGTAGTATATATGTGTTGTCGATAATTTCATTTCTTGAAGAAAAATGATTTCGTAATCTGACAAATTGCAGGTAAAATTAGTCCTTGAAGACTGTTCGTATGAGGAGGTACATGCTGTTGAGTGATTAATGTAATAATGGTTTTATTTGATTAGGGGACTCGGTGTCTGTGGTCACGATTTAGTTCATTTGTAGTTTTTGCAGCTTGTAATTGTTTGGTTACATCGCGGTGGTTCTACCACCCTTATTTCTGTCTTGTAGGAAGAATAGAATAGACCAAGCACAATTGGTATGCCCTACGTTAGGACTATTTTTAACAAATAAAAAAGTTCTCTGTCAAGTAAATATATATCGGTTTACTTAATTATTTACATGCAGCAGAATAATTTTCAATGTTTTTTTCAGAAACTCCATCGTGCAATATAACAAGTGGCGCGAACACAGATGTAGTTGCAGCAGGTGAAGAAGCCTCACTTGATGTCACCATCTTCTCCTTCTTCTGTTCTGGAGCATCTAACTTCACGCTGCAGATTGGCAACACCAGCCAAACTCTGGATACAGCTGTTGATTATTCTGCAAAGCAAACGGTCTCCGTATCTATTAATGTCACCGACTCTCACTATGGAGCTTTGAGACTCTTATTTTCCTGTCACCGCTATCAGCGGAGTCTCCCCTGTGCAGGTATAGCACAGCTGCATAAACGTGAGTGTACTAAATATATACATCGTATATACAGAAATAGCCCAGCATTGCTGATGTAAGCGAATACGTTCAAAAATAAAAGGAAAGTCTTGAACAGTGCGGTTTAAACGTAAACATACAAGGCATCACCATCTCAGACAAATAGAAAAACTCAAATGAAAGTGTCAGTTAGATTTGCACAAAATCTGTCAATGAACCTTCATAATAATCGCGGGGCGGTCGGGTAGCCTAGTGGTTAAAGCGTTCGCTCGTCACGCTGAAGACCCGGGTTCGATTCCCGACATGGGTACAATGTGTGAAGCCCATTTCTGGTGTCCCCCGCCGTGATATTGCTGGAATATTGCTAAAAGCGGCGTAAAACCATACTCACTCACTCACTCACTCATATTAATCGCAATGCTTAGTATTGCTTACTAGTCGGATATATCGTCATTGATAACACAACTCAAACTATGTTTTGGAATGTATGTGACTTCTTTTAATGTTCCTTTCGTGTATAAAAATACAGAAGGCTGTGTCACTTCTTTTTGCAGCTGCCTCAACTGGTGGAGGTGCCATCAGCTATTCCAGGAACCTGATACTGTACATCAGTATCATAAATTTACAATTTCCATGGTCGTTGTTGTGGTAATGTGGGTATTAGGGAGAACGGTAGAGTAATATACTATTGGGAACACGGTAAAATTTTTGCTCAAAAGGGAGCAGGCTGGTCTTCTTTGAACTCTGCAGGGGTGGGGCGGGGTGGGGGTGGGGTGGGGGTGGGGGTCGTTCCACTGTCTGGAATAGGCCAGTGGGTGATTTACTGCGACACACAATTGTAATATGGATTGATAAAAACAATTGGAAGCTTACTTTTAAGCATAGAGACTATACATTTGAGTGTAACTTTATCAAGTCTTTATGACCATTTAAAATATAATACAGAATTAATAATACAAATTAAATAAATACAGACTAAATTTACATTGGGGCATGTTGTAATATCATACAGAATTAAGAATTGTATGTACAATGCCAATGTTGGACATCATCTCCATGAAATCCATACCGCTCTATATGTTTCATATGAAATAATTATCAAATTTTTATTTGTATTAATCGAAAGGTATAATAATGACAGTGATATCATAATTAAAATAATATTACTGATCCTAAACTGAAGTAGTCCTCCACACATGATGAAACTTAGAACTTTTTAGTTATATTAACATTTTTAAAAACATATTAACATATCAATATCTATATTGTGCAACCAATTCAGGAAACAGTTGGGTACATCAAGTACATCACAATAAATTTGCTTTTTGGAGCAAAAAGAGAACTTGTCCCTACTTCCTGTAGAGAGAGGATTCATCTAAAGTACAATTTGTCACATGGGCAAGCACATTTTCATTCAATGCATGTACATATTGCTCTTTCGTGTTTTATTTCCTGAAAGATTGGGATTAACTTCCCTGTTTTTGATTTCACAGAGGTTAGATCAACAGTTGCAGCTAAGTTTTTGAGGATAGTTTATGATAGTTTTCAATCGATTTCCATCAGCCAGTACATTTAGGAAAATAAATGGGCTAGGTAAATATGTATATATTGTGTGGCTTCGCATTGATTATATTACTGAAATACTGACAATACGAGGCTTGATATTATCTTACTAATTCAAATAGATATAGCAGTCTGATATGAGAGTCAAAATCATTATGCAAGAATCAATTAAAAGTGTTACTGGGCGTAATACGGAAATGTTTTTTAATGTATAATATGTAATTGATGGTTATCCAAAATGACCGTTCATCCCAACTCTCTCACGCTAGCTTAATGCGAGGCCAATCGGTCTGTCAAGTTGTTTATAAGCTGATTGGTTGAATTGTTGGTGGTCTCACATCTTGATTGTTTATTGACAATGTTGATAAATGGTTTTACATTTACTTTTTCATTCGACAGATTAAGACTTTCAACCCATTTTAGTTATTTGTCTGATACTTCTTGTCACTGTTACAGAGTTTGTCCGTAACGTTTCCGTTAATGTTCCTTATCAAATAGGGGCGGTCGGGTAGCCGAGTGGTTAAAGCGTTCGCTCGTCACGCCGAAGACCCGGGTTCGATTCCCGACATGGGTACAATGTGTGAAGCCCATTTCTGGTGTCCCCGGCCGTGATATTTCTGGAATATTGCTAAAGCGGCGTAAAACCATACTCACTCACTCACCTTATCAAATAAATCTATAACTAACGTGCAAGTATTGTCATGTATCCACGTAGCTGATTCTTACATAAAAATGCTTCTTTTACACGTGCCTATATACATCTTGCCAAACCATCCATTTGTTGACGGTACTACGTTAGACACGTGTTTATTGTACTTATGCCTGATTTGTATAAATACGTTGTGTTATTGTGAGGATTAAACATAAGCATGAATTCTAAAAGTGTATCTTTGCATTTATTAACATAGTTTTGTACACTTGTGAATGCTGTTCTTCAAATAAAATACATGTCTTTGTAATTACGTCTAGAGATTATCTGTATACTTCATGTTATGAATGCCATGTTAGGGGGGAAGTGAGATGGGGATTTCATGTGTCACTGGGTGTGGGTGGTTGCTTGTACTAGTTTAAAAGTGCCAGCCCACTGATATACCATGTCACAGGTTTAACATGAACACCCCACTCAGACACCGTGTCAACGCGCATGTTGACGGGGAATTGGCTCTTGGGGGATGAAGGACAAAATTGACATCACTGTCCCGGAACGTTTTATGCACAACATACGAACAATAAACAACAATTACACAATAAGCGGAATACCTGCTCTGACAACACAAACACAGCGATGAGCGGACCTTCCAGCTCAGGCATACATGAGGCGAGCGGAGGTCCAGCTCAACCTCAGGGCGTTTCCTTCGAGCGGCACATCCTGCTCGAGGTCGTCCCTACACCAGCGCTCGGAATACAAAGCTGACTAACACTGTAATGGAAACACATATATATTAATGAAGAACAATGGACAGACAAAGAGACAATGACGTTGCTCTGGACATGGGACTTATTGGAGTGATGAACTAACACAGCTTTATGTCATACTATAAATAACAGTAATTAACGGGAAGGGATATAGTAGCCCAGGTTGGCTGACAGTCAATATACAATGAAATGTTGGTGAGGGTTAACAGCGGGTATTAGCGCCTAATACATCATGACAGTTATGGAGACGTACACATGTCATCGCTACAGGGTAATTAGCCTAGGAATCAAATGTTCTTCAGACACAAGTAAACCGAGTTCAAGACGGCCAGTCGTTGTAATATGCCGATAATTCGGGCAGATTAAAAACAGTTACCATTTTGTAGCGGTAGTTTTTGTATGACGCGGCCTTTGATCGATCCACCGACCTTCCGGGTAGATGCTCTATCCACCATCCCACAGGGTACTGCATGTTCATCATCAGTTGTGTTGTGTTCACTCGTATCGATGAAACACATTCCCACGGGACATTCATGTGGTGCTTCCTGTGTCGTTATACCATGTTCAACATCAATTGTGTAGTGTTCAAAGATATCGCTGAAACATATTCCCACAGGAGTGAGTGAGTGAGTGAGTGGGTATGGTTTTCGCCGCTTTTTGAAATATTCCAGCACTATCGCAGCGGGGGGACCAGAAATGGGTTTCACACATTGTACCCATGTCGGAATCGAACCCGAGTCTTCGGCGTGACGAGCGAACGCTTTAACCACTAGGCTACCCGATCGCGCCTCCCACAGGACATTCATGCAGTGCTTCTCCATTTTGAAGTCATTACTCAGCGAGATGATTGAATTTAAAACGCTGGCCCTGCCTGTCTTCAAGAAACGTTTCTTTAGTACAAACCAAGCAGAAATCTCCGATTAAAAGACCTGCTTATCTTGTCCGTACCAAAATACAAGCCCGCCTCCGTGGTCTGGTGGTAGAGCGTCCGCCCGGAGAGCGGAAGGTGTCGTGGTTCGATCCCCTGCCACGCCATACCAAAAGACGTTAAAAGATGGTACTTGTTTTACCCTGTCTGGCGCTCGGCATTAAGGGGCTAAAACAAGGACTGGTCGGCTGGGAGTCCGTATGCGGTGTCTGAATAGGGTATTCATGTTTAACTGATGCATGGTATCTCAGTGGGCTGGCACTATGAACTCGGAAGTAGTCCGGACTAGTACACGCGCACACACGCACGCACACACGCACGCACCCGCTTTTTGGTGCAATAACCATGGACATTAAAACCCAATTTCACCTCGCCCCACCTCACCAAAATACAATCAATCAATCAATCGGTTTATTCGGTAATAAGGCCTCAGGCCTACGTACAGATATATACAATTTAGTTTCTCATCAAGTGCTGCATGAAATAATATTTACAGGTAATATAAGAAGAACGAAGACAGATAGCATCTTTAACATAATTGGCTAAGTTCTCAAGACGATTATTACCAGTAATGAAGTCTAAATACTGGAAATATTTAGAGCGAATATCTTCATAAATAGGTCAAACAACAATGAAATGAATTTCATTTTCAGCTGCCCTTATCTTACACAATTGACAAAACCGGAGTGTCTTATCGATGCCATACCTCTTTCCTGTGTTATGCATAATTCCCAGTTCTCCAATACGTAAAAGGGTAAACATATGTCGCTTTTCTTTTCATAATACATTAAATAGACACGGTTCAAGTGATAATGATGTCTTAAACAATGAATACAGTTCTAGTTGCGAGCATCCAGACAATTCAGAATACCATGTTTGTGCATGACAGTCCTTAACCCTCAGTATAAACTCATTTATAAAATATTCAGGATCATGATCACCAGCACCTTGAAATTCCCACACATGTCCGAAGCAATGAGAATATAACATATTATTAATAGCAGAAACCAATGAATGCATCAAACCTAACTAACATATCGTAACACCGTTCTGGAAATCTCTCTTGGGACATATTAAGAAGCTTAAACCAGAATCTTAAACATCTTGTGTAAGAATCAATATAAATACCATTTCGACCACATTCTCCGAGCACTGCAACATTTTTAGATTTGGAACTAATACCCAAAACAGATTTACAAAACTTCGCTTGGAAACGTTCGAGAAACAACCATTTATGAACCCCCCAAATCTCTGAACCATATAAAATAATAGGTTTAATCTGAGAGTCGAACATTTAAAACAACACTTTTAAATGCTGTTTTATAGGAATTTAAGCTTTACTTGCTTTCAAAACTAACTAATGTCTGAACTGTCCTCGACCAATACAGCCTGTTTGAAAATATAATACCCATATAACTGTAATATGTAGAAACCTTGACCGGTGTCACGAAATATATTCGCCCCCAGAATAAAATCTCCCCCCGGCGAATTTATACCGGTACAGTTCCGCCCCTCTCGAAATCAACTCTCCCCCACCCTACGAAATAAAATCTCCCCCCAGAATATTTCCTCCCCCGGTCGTTTTATAAATACTTGCCATGCAGTTGCCAATAGTTTTAATGTTTATTTGTTTATGTGTTTTTTTATTCATTTTTTTTTTTATCTCCTTTATTTTTTCTGAATTATACATTTAGTTACTTGTGTGGGGTGTGGGGTGTGTGGTGGGGGATGGGGGGTGTCCCACCTTTCCTTTCGTTTTTCATAATATTATATTTTTAAGTTGTATATAACGTATGAATCCCTTCTCAGATTACTTTATCTCATATCTATAT